GTGCGGGGCCGCGCGCCGCCGCTGCCGCGCCGCGTGGCGCCCGCGCCGCACTCCGACCCGCCCGCACTGCTGCTCCACTGTCTCTTACTGCCTCCTGTAATTACTCTTATTGTCACTCAAGCAACAATTAAACGTAGAAGAAGGCTAGGCACAGACCCTTTATGTGGTCCGTTATCAGTTTCCTGGGTAGCGGTTTCTAAAATGCAACTGCCATAATGGTCATTATGGGCACTGTATATAACAACATTAATATACCTTATTTTCGCGATTTAGCTGTATTTTAAAGTTGTATTATAAAATCTAAAATTATATTATTTTCATAGACAAATAGATACTCACCATGCCGCGAGTGTTTGGGCGTGAGTCCGTTGATGCGCATGAGGTTGAGTAGCAACATGTCAGTATGCGCGGCAGTAGAGAGCTGTGGGTCGGGGTCGTGGCGGGGCGGCGCGGGCGGCCCGGAGCCGTCCGTGCCCGCCGGGGTCACGCCGCGTGACGCCACGGCACACACCAACCGACGCAGTATATCTGCCCCGGAACCACTCGAGCCTCCAGCAAGGTGGGCCGCCTCTATATCGTTCTCCCCTGCCATCATAAGAACACTGTTACTATGTATACTTGTAGCCCACCATGCCGTAAGTTGGCCAAACCCCACTTGATCACACCGTACCACACCCGTAAGCTAATAATAATAATAAATAAGCTACTGTTGATAACTTTATAAGTATAGCGTATTACTTGTATTATTACAGCAAGTTGCGTCAAATATTGAACAAAAATATCATAAAAAATAAACCAATAAAAATCACTCTGACATCATTTATGTTAAAAATTACGTAACATTTGATTCATAAGTGAGTGTAACTATAAACCACACTCAACTGACGGTCTCACCACATATGGTTAACGACATCTTTGCCAACTTTAGGTTCACAGATAAACTGCAAAAAAATATTTACGTGAAAGTATTATTTGTGGAGAATAAATATCTTAACCAATACTTAGGAAATAACCACTAATACGGGGATTAAATGAGACTGTTCTGTGACTTTAAAGTAAAATTTTGAACAAAATAATTGAAACAACTGAAATAACAGTCTGAGAACAGTTTTATCCATCACTAGTGGGCCGCGGCGGGCTCGGTGTGATCAAGTGGAGTTGAACCCTAATACTGACGCTACTTACTGCAGACGTGGTGCGGGGTCTAGGCGGGTAAATCAAAAGCTCGACGGCGGGTTATCCTTTATTATCATTTATTTTAATTATAAGGTTCGCCGCGGCCGTTAACTCGACGTCAACTCGATGTTCTCAATTACAATGATAATGCTAGCGACGTCTTGAGAGCGGTGTACTCGAGGAAGTGTCGGGAGAGGAGAGGTAGGGCGGGGTGCGGGCGCGGTCAGTGCTGCGGGCGGCGGTAGGGCGCGGGGC